TCTAAAGGCCTTCTGTATTACAAATGGCTGGCCGTATCTTCGGTTTAGTTTGTCCCAAGCATCCTTATATGCTTCTTCATCGTTTCTAAAGAAAGTTCCTTCAAGACATTTGCGGGCTGGGCCAGTCACATATCGTTTCAGGTAGTACAGTTTATCTGCTGCTGAGATGCTCTTTTGTTCAATGAGTGACGTAAATGTGGATTTCCATTCAATAAAGCTTATTGGTTCACCACTAAACACTGTTGGTTCTGGTGTGGGAAGTTTGTTCATTTTTATACTGTCTTGAACTGCTTGTGCTAGTTGACTAACACTAGAGGATGCTATTTGCTCAGGCATGAAGGAGAGTGTTGGTATGATCTGTTGGGGTGTGAAGCTTTGGCTCACCTGTTCACCTTTTATTGACTGCGCATCACTTATACGTGCTAACTCTCGGTCATATGCTTCAAACCTGGCTCGAGCTGCTTTCACTTCCTTCTGCGCCTTTAAACGTTCCATCTCAGATGTTTGAGCTGCCATTTGTTTTTTGTGCTCCTCCTCTAGAGCTCTTATTTTTTCTCGTTGTCTTTGCTCCTCTTTTTCAATCTCAAACTCAGCCATTTTAGCTGCTAGTTCTGCCGCTGCATCGGCTCTTTTTGCAGTAAGGTGTGAAGCTGAGGACTGTTGGCTGTGATTTGATGCTGCGGTTGACCCGTATATGGACAAGGCGTAGTCATGCTCTAAAACTCCACGTAAGCGAATTCTTTCACGCTCTGCATCAAAATCTCCATCAACACCACTTATTCTTTCCAGAATTATTTTTACCATGTCGTGAGTTACTGCATCACAAGCATCGGTCCTTGTCCTTATGTCAGATGATGGTGCCATTTGGTTTCTTATTTCAGAGTAGAGCTTTAGGACATCATCTCTCTTTTGTTCTATCAAGTCTGCAAGTTCAGCCATCTCCTTTTCTGTGATGTCTGACTTTAAGCTTTCTCTTGTTTCGCGAACTTGCATTTTCCATTTTTCATACAAATGTATTAGTCTCTTTTCCTTTTTAATTATTTCTTCCTTCTGATATGTCATCATCTTCTCAGTTTGAACTTTAACTCTTTCTGAACGTCTTGGTAAATCTGA